TACACTGAAAGTTTAGCAACTTTCAGTTGAGACAGAATTTAGTTTTAAAAATTTCTAGTACCAAGCTAAGCTTACTGACCCAAAAAGTTAAGCTCAAATACATCAGAAAAATGTGGACTGAAATGTACCAATCAGAATGGAGCCCTTTGCTACTCTCTTGACTCTTGTACCAAGACATATCCTTTACTGTACAGCTGAACAAAAGTGAAGTTCTGTCAAGGGCGACTGCAATCTTGCATGACAATCATCCTCACACTGCCACACGTAATTGCTTAAATATTCCATCCTGAAAAGCAAAAGACCATGAAAGAAAAGTATAATTATGAAGGGTTGGAAAACACACAAGCAAGTAAATTGGATGTGCACAAATGTATACAAAAATAAAAATTAAAACGACAGGCACATAAAGAAAAAGGTAGATAAAGAAGACAGAAGCTATTGTGGCTAGATTATCATAATTTTTTAAAAGAATGTAAACACTTAAAATCTTGGTTTTACTAAAAACACATTAGGAAAAAAATTATATAAAACGTTCCTACATAAAAAGAATGATACTCAAGCATATAACATCAAGTGCAAAAACAATGTCTTGGCACATAAACATGTGCTAGAACTACTAGAAAAGGGAATTACTGATGCATAATTTGGATGCCCTTGACCTCTCAAATACTGTGGTGGGGATTTGGGCGGTTACTAGGAGTGGAATGGAAGATGTGAAGGAGCCAATTTACATAGCCACCGTATGGGCAGCGATAAAACCTTAGAAGCCCTGGTGGCGCAGTGGTTACAATGCTGGGCTGCTAACCAAAGGGTTGGCAGTTTCAACTTAGCAGTTGGGGAAAAGACGCAGCAATCCGCTTCTAGAAAGATTTCAACCCTCTGAAACCCGACGGGGCAATTATACTTTTACAGGGTTCGCTGGACCCGGGCCAGAAACCGACCGGAGAAACGAGTCATATCAAACTCACTGCCTTCGAGTCTAGTCTGACTCACCGACACCCTACCGAACAGAGTAGAGCTTTCCCTTTTGCCGAGGCTATGGATTTGTGTAAAAGTTTTATGGGGGGTAGAAAACACCACTTTCACAATTGATGACCTTGAACTGAAGTTACCACCCGACGCGAAGCGCACTCCCCAACCAGGGCTGTAATTGTGTATGGGTGTGTGGGGGGGGGCGGGGGTCCCACGAAAACTTGGGCACGAGACGAGAGATGCGCACTCAGCACCCGGTGACTCCCTCTCGCCCGCCCCGCTCCACCCTGCAAAGGGCTCCCTTTCACGCGCCCCCTCTTCGCCGCGGGGGTCCACGGCGCCAGGACCGGGCTGCCCCTCCCTGCCGTGCAAACACCTACCATGGTGCCGTCCTCGTGGGCCCAGTTCCAATGGGGCAAAGGCGACGGAAGACCCAGCCAGCGGCGTGCACACGCCCGCGGGCCCGCGGAAGCCGCGCAGCCTCCGACCGGAAGAGGCGGGGCGAGTGCGTCCCTCGAAAACGTCCCCGGAAGCCAGGCCTCGTCTTTGACGCCCGTCTTGGAACTTCAGTCCCCGGAAACCGGACCTCAGCGTTGGCGCCCGTATTGGAATTTCACC